ATATATATTATATATATTTGTAGTTTATATTAAGTGTTATGTATATATACAAAGCTATCTATGAACTTTTAATACTCTAATTTTCTCACATATTACCTCTTTAGTTTAGAATTTGTAGACTTCAAAATGTAACTATATTGTACTATCGCCGTTGAAAAAAAAAACATAAATAAATGAATAATAAGTGAAGTTATTGTCAATTTTAAGGGAATAAACAGTTGCCATACAGTAAGAATGATGGTGATTCTATATAAAAAAAATTAAACAGGTTGAAAACAAGTAATATACATAAGATAAAAAATAATTAAATCTCTTGTCTTTTCCATGACAAATTAATATTAAATTTAACCATTAAAATTATAGATAGCAGGATGGAAAGTGTCGAATATCAACCATATTTGTTGGCAATAGCAAAATTTCTACATCGTAAATTAACTGCTGAATTCATATTAAAACAGACAACAATTACTGACAGATATTAGTAAGTAGAGATGCATATTTCATTAACTTGCAGAATCCAGATTTAATAGTAGATCAAATGGCTAAGATTTAAATCATGTACTACAAATAACATGTGCCTTAAAGTGTTTCATGAACATTTAATCATACTAATCAGAAATATATCCATTGCGATAAAAAACATGGTAAAACAGAGGTACTTACATCCACAAACTCTTACTCAAGTTACCTCATGTAGTTATTAAATATAGGATGGTTTTGTACAATAAAACATTCACATGGGCCTCCAACATGTAGAATAGGGTTTCCTCACCGGCATCTGAAATTATAAAATACTATAGTAATTCATATAGATATAAAAATATTATTTTAATATAACTATAAAAAGAGGTAAATAAGTACCCACGAAAGAAAATATTTGGAATTGTAGCATAAATATTAGCCATTACCTACCTCTTGAAACGATATCCACAAACAACAACTTGCCTACGCCCTTAATAATCATAAATACGACAAACATTAGGTTTTAAATTAAATCAAAGCAACAAATTTATAACAATAAATATAACTATAAATATAAAAACGAACGTTATTAACGAATATTTCTCATACCAAATCAATGCAAAAGTAAATTAAGATGCTGTCAAAGTTCTTTGCTTTTGTCATGTACTAAATAAATAAGCAAAATTATTAATCCATCAAAGTACTAACCAAAAGCTTGCGAATAATGTTATCGCCAATGTAGATCATTCATTGTGCACTAAATCACTGAATTGAAACAAAATCGGACTGAAATAATCACTTTTGAAAATCAAAACTATATACAATACTCTTCTTTTATCTATGATCAGAACAGAATGTGAGATGCGAAAACCATGTCCATAGAAAACGAATGCTAATAATAGTAGAGCGAACAGCAAACGTAAGGGTGTCGGCACACCTGACAATAACGAGAGAGCGCGGTGGCGCTACGACGGTAATCGACGAGACTAACAGTTCCGAAAAATTTTTATTACAAAATAGCTGACCCGGCAAACGTTGTTTTGCTAAGTATTTCTAAACAATTTCTAGAGAATCAAGAAAATTAAGGCTTTATTTTAAGTGTATAAAGATGTGTAGTGTATAATCATAGAAAAGGTGTATAATGAAAGTCTACTTATTCAATATTATATAATTTATATTAACATTATTCGTTTGCCTATATTTTGTTAATACAATCAAACTGGACGTTTTATATACTTTCTATGAAAAACATATACAACTATGCAGGGCCGGATTTAGAAATTTGGCGCCCTGTGGCACTGACAAAAATGCCGCCCCATTCCTGAATTTATACTTACCAAAAATTAAAATTCAAAAAAAAAAAAATTGAAAACTGAAAAATTTTGAGTTTTTTTTTATATTTTGAAAATTTTCAACATTTTTTTAAACCAATCGCGCTGCTTTAGCTGCGTAGAGACAAAAGATAGAAGAGTGTAAGATCCGCGTCGCAGAATAACGGATAAATATTATTACAGAACCCACAGAAATGTAAAAATGTATACTAATTATTAAAATATCTGATAATTTGTTGAGTAATATCTGAAATATGAAAAATATCTGAAATTTGATGTGCACATGTCTAATGATCACTTTTGACTACCAAATGTTTCTATTTAAGTATTTTTATTGGAACACCAAAACCGCTAGACCTGCCCCTCCCACAAAGTTAAGCAGTTCTTTATTTTGTCTATACATGTAATTTTTTTAATGATATTTTACGTTCCGTTTCTCAAAACCTGAATTATCATGTTTGGCATTTTGGCCCGTATTTTCGAAACAGTTGGACCTGCCTTAGCCAATAACTAATCAGCACGTTATCGTTATCAATAGGAATCGAATCTTCAAATAAAATTTAATTTTAATGAATTTAATAAATAAGTTTTTTTTTTAAAAAAAATCGAAATATAAAAGAAAGATTTTTTAAATTCAATTTTTTTCATTTTTCAAAAAATCTTTATAAAATGCAATTTTCTCTTTCTTTCCTCAAGGCACAATGCCATGCGTCACTAGTTTAATTTTTTTCAGCGCTAGAAGCTGGGAAGAAATTCGTCATCTTAAAAGCTCGAGATCTGGAAAATATATTTATTAATTTATCAAATTATTAATTTATTATTTATTAAATTATTATTAATTATTATTATTAAATTTATATTTATTATATATTAAACTTTCAGCTCATTTACGAATCTTTATATTAGCCAAATTGCCAAATTCTGCATTGCATTCGTATAATATGTTTTGTTAATTATATTTTTTGAAATAAAAAATGTATTTTATTCTCATATATTTAGTATCCGATGATGCAATGATTGTTATCGTTAAATCGATGCACCGTGTACAATGTTGATGCAATATATCATCAATCATTGAATCTATGTGATTATCTCACAATGTATGTGCTCAAGCTGATGGTCTTAGTATTGTGGAAACTCTATAGCGCGAATTGAAATTCGTAAAAATTCTGATTTTCACAAAACTAACATTAGTTACTTTAAAGCTCGAGCTGCCTTGTTCAACGTCTAATGAAACAGCTCGATGGCAAAATTTTATACTAGATAAAAGTGTTGTATCAAGTAATGACGATCTTTAAATTTCTCGCAATAAGATTTGGATGCCGATTCCCGACTCAGCAGTCGAACGGACAACAACTCTCAGTAAACATTAAATCGGTCTCGGATTTATTCAAGTGAAAAATAACATTAGTGAATAGTTTAGTGCACAGTGAAACAAAATAAGTGTAACTAGTTTTAACATAAGTGCAATTCATTAAATTATGTTCCCCATTAAAGGGGAACACACAAATTTATCAATCCCTATTGTGGAAGCGTATCGCACATTAAATGATACTGAATATGACAAGAAACTGTGACCATCATGACAAGTCCAACAATCAACTCACGCACAATCAACCGTGCCAGTCCACGTTACAACAAAACATTCCAAACCTTAATAATAATACTCCGACGACAACTACAGAAAACGATCACGAAATAGATCAGGACCAAATTCCATGGCAAACTCCATCACACACTAAAAAACGTAACACTAAGGAAATCAACCGATCTGTTTTAAATACAATAACACTTCAAAACAGATTTAATCCGTTGTTAAATCAATAAAATCAAGACAAAACACAAACATTATCACCACGACCTCCACCCATTTTTGTTTATAACGTAAATAATTTCAAATTAATTCAAATTTCAAAATTCAAATTAATAATGCAATCAAAGAAACCTTTCCTTCAAACAAATTTTACACAAAAATTTTGCCGGACAAAACTGTAAAAATACATTGCTCTGATTCTGCTACTTTTCGACAAATGGTCACACTACTGAAAGATGCAAAAGTAGAACACCATACCTATCAATTAAAAGAAGATCGCGCGTTTAGAGTGGTAGTTCGATATCTATACCATGCAACCACAACAGAAGAAATCGCAACCGTGTTTAATGAATACGGTCACAAGGTAAGAAATGTTTTGAAATTGCGCAACCCCCACACAAAACAGCCGCGTAATATGTTCTTCATAGACTTTGAACCAGCACCTAACAACAAAGACATTTACAAAGTGGACAAATTCCAAAATAGCATAATTAAAATTGAACCGCCAAATGTCCGTAAACGCATCGTCCAATGTGAACGCTGCCAACAGTTTAATCATACAAAGCGGTACTGCAACCAACTGTTCACATGTTCCCGTTGCGCCGAGAATCACGAACTCAAAGATTGTCCTCTAGATCAGGCCTTCTTAAACTTTTTTATATAGCGACCCCCTTCAAGCTCAGACAATTTTTAACGACCCCCTCCTTCATATAATGAAATAATAATAAAATATATATTAACCGTAGATGTAGATGTAGTATCACACTATTTTACAATGTAAATAAAATAAAAATTAAAGAATACGTATCCATTTATTTCACACACACACACACACACACACACACACACATATATATATATATATATATATATATATATATATATATATTATATATCAAGCGAGAGGTTTTTCTTCAGTTGGTGAAATAATATGATAAAATTGTTTCTTGAGCATCTATTCAGTAATTAAAAACTATTTTTTGAAGGGAAATGTTTTTATTCAGGGAACATACGTTTCGGGTCTTAATTTGACCCATCTTCAGTGCATACAAAAAATTTGAAAAAAAAAACATAAATTTATTTGTATGCACTGAAGATGGGTCAAATCAAGACCCTAAACGTATGTTCTCTGAATAAAAACATTTTCCTTCAATAAAACTGTTTTTAATTACTGGTCTGTACACACACACACACACATATATATATATATATATATATATATATATATATATATATATATATATATATATAATTGGAAACGTTTACGGGATATTGGTTGTAATAAAACACAATGAATAGAATGACAAAATTATATATATATATTTATTCAATAGAAAAAATAAACTTTTGTAACAAGTTTTTCAATAAAAACATATTATTAATATCAAACAATACTAATGTGACGGGTGTGATTGTTTATTTTTACATAAATAATTAAATCTAGGCTCAATTTGAGTTATTGCAGGTCGTAACAAATTTTCAACGTTTATTAAAGTTGAACGGTATTTTGATTTTATATAAGATAATGTGGAAAAAGCTGATTCACATAAATATGTTGTACAAAATGGCAGTAATATGTTCATTGCTATTTCTGAAAGTAAGGGATATTCTAATTTCATTTCTATCCAAAATTCATGCACAGGCACTTGAGAAAATCTTATTCGCAAGGCAGTATCACTAGTTAATTCCGCAAATTCTTCGTGAGCTTTTAAGTTTAAAAAATTCATTTCTTCGATTGTAATTGAAAATGGATTGGAAATCCATTGGTGTCTATCAATATCATTGGGAAAATACTTATGCATATAAACTTCCATGTCTTTCAAATGATTAAATATAATTTCTGTTATGTGAGTATCTGTTATGGAAATATTGTTACTAATTATGAACTCGTCAGTAAAGGGAAACATTTCGAGCGATCCACTTTCCACTCTGTTCTTCCATATAATAATTTTTTTAATAAAGGCCTCAAGTTTATTTTTTAACGTAAATATATTAGCGCAGACTCCCTGCATTGATAAATTCACATCATTGATTTTATCAAAAATGTCTGCCAAATAGCATAGCTTGAGAAGCCATAAATTATTGTGAAAATAATCGGCCAAATTACTATTTTGCTCTGTTAGAAATATAAGAACTTCATCTTTCAAAGTTAATAATCGTTTCAAACTTCGACCTCTTGATAGCCACCTAACTTCAGCATGTAGCAATAAACTTGTATAATCCGAATCCATATCAATGCACAAATTTTTAAACAATCGACTATTAAGTGCTCGACTTTTAATAAAGTTAATGATTTTGACTGCATCAGAAAACACAATGTTTAATTCTGGTGCTATTTTTTTAACAACAAGTGCCTCTCGGTGAATCATGCAGTGTGTAAATGTAATATGATCATTTCCAGCTTTAACAAATGCTGTAAAACCAAGATCTTGTCCGGTCATTGCTGCAGCACCGTCCGTGCACACACCAACACAATTTTTCCAATTTAATCCTTCTTCTTCAAAAAACTCATTTACTTTTTTATATATATCTTTTCCACGAGTATGACCTTCCAGAGGACGACAAAACAGTATATCTTCATGAATCCTTCCCTCATAAATATATCTTACAAAAAGTAACAACTGTGCCATTTTTGAAATGTCTGTCGACTCGTCCAGTTGTATTGCAAACTTTGGGCTGTCTTTAAGTCTCATAAGAAGCTGTTGAAATTGATCATTGCTAATGTCTGAAATTCTTTTGGATACAGTGTCATTTGATAATGGAATTTTACTAATTTCAGCAGCATACTGTTTTCCATGAACAATTTCAGACATTCTTATAGCTGCAGGTAGTGAAAGTTGCTCTCCAATAGTAAAAGGCTTTTTCGTTTTTGCTATCAAATACGAAACTTCATACGATGCCAATAGATATTTATCATTCAAAGTAACATACCTCTCCAAAGTATTCTTTTCGTTATTTGATGTTTGCAAAAGACGTTCAAAATATTCTATTGGCTTTTTTGATAACGTTGCATGTTTAGTATTCAAATGTCGTTGCAGTTTTGACGGTTTCATGCTTTCTGCGGCCAAAACTTCTTTGCAAATTAAACACACTGGTTGATCTTCATTGTTGTGAGAAGAACATGTGAAGCCATATTGCAAATATGATTCATCATATTTTCTTTTTTTTGTTTTGCTAGAAGCCGAATTAGAAGCACTGCAATTTGGTTGTGACGGCGTGGCAGGCTTATTAGTTGAAATTTTATTTAGCCACTTATCCATGATGGTTAAATAATAATAAATAATTAAACAAAATGTAGTTAAACTTTAACGTAATAATTAAAAACACCGACTGAAAATTACACAGTAAATACACACATGTCACTACGAAGACAAAGTTAAGTCCAAACTGAAGCACAAACAGAAAAATAACTACACGCGAATCTTCTGTTATAATTTGCCTTCAGCGAAGGTGGTAATTTAAGTAATTTAAGAACACAACACAACTATCATAGATTAATTCATAACGGAATAGAGATACTTCATTAAAATATAATTATTTGACGTCCAGAGAGCGACTGAGCCATAAGCGCACGTGCTAGATCCATAAGGCATAAATGTATCGCTAGATCGATAAGGGCGACGGCACATAACACTTTGAACATGACGTGTTCAAAGTGTGCAGCGCACAAAGACGCCGATTATAATAAAACTACAATAGTATTTTGTATGATTTTTATTCGTATTTATATTTGTACGTAGTGTGTGTACTAATTTTAAAATTTTATTTATGACTGAAAAGTCTGTGAGTGAAGTCTGTGTGTCAGATCTGTGCGACCCCCGTTGAGTAGTCTCGCGACCCCCCTGGGGGTCGCGACCCCCACTTTAAGAAACCCTGCTCTAGATGAAGATACGGTTCCGAACTGCGCCGTGTGTAATACTGTAGGCCACACGTCTAAATATAAAGGCTGTAAACGATATCTAAAATTGTATTCACACAAATATGGATCGACGTCAGATAATAATAATAACAACAATCGAACTGCACCTACCAGCCAAATTATTAACTTCCCGAAGGAGAAGTTTATGTTTTCATCAAAAAACCCGATTCGCTAATTTTATGTTTTCTCGACGTTTCAAGCCATTCTGAATCGAATGAGACCAAATTTGGAAAAAGTATGTGTGTGTGTGTGTGTGTGTGTGTGTGTGTGTGTGTGTGTGTGTGTGTGTGTGTGTATGTGAACAGATTTTTTGTCGTAAATCGACGTTTTCTCGAAAACGGCTGGGTCGATTTCAAAATTTAAAAGCCATTCGATGTATCTTGACGAGAACTATTGTTTGTCAGTTTTGTGCGACGATCGGCCAAGCCGTTTCTTTATAAATGGCAGAAAAGTGAAAAATTTTTCGTCTACGTTTTAGCCCGCAATTCTGAATCGATTTTGAAAATTCAAAAACCGTTCGAAAGATATTGGTTGGGAATCGTGCTGATTAGTTTTTGGTAGAGATCGGCCGGGCCGTTTTCTTGTAATAAAGTTTTTAAAAAAAAATTTCGACGATTTTTATGATTATTTTTTTGACGATAGATACCATAGTCTTCTAGATCATACTAAAATATTACGGCCCTACGACAACTGGTTCAGCTTTAAAAATTCGTCAAAGTTTGCAAAAATCAGTATGGTCTTTTTGGCATTTGTCAAAATTAGACTTTTGATCGACGTTTTCTCAAAAACGCCTAAACCGATTTTAGAAATTTAAAAGCCATTTGATGTATTTCGGTGAGGACTATCGTTTGTCAGTTTTGTGCAACGATCTGCCAAGCCGTTTCTTTGTAATTTGAAAAAAACTTTTCGTCCACATTTAAGCTCATCCTACCGAACGATTTTAAAAATCAAAAACTGTTCGAAAGATATTAGTTGGGAATGATACTGATTAATTTTAGGTGAAAATCTACCGAGCCGTTTTCTTGTAATTAACTGTTGAAAAAAAGTGTTAAATTTTCGTCGACATTTAAGCTCATCCTACCGAACCGATTTTAAAATATCAAAAACTGTTCGAAAGATATTAGTTGGGAATGGTACTGATTAATTTTAGGTGAAAATCTACCGAGCCGTTTTCTTGTAATTAACTGTTGAAAAAAAGTGTTAAATTTTCGTCGACATTTAAGCTCATCCTACCGAACCGATTTTAAAATATCAAAAACTGTTCGAAAGATATTAGTTGGGAATGATACTGATTAATTTTAGGTGAAAATCTACCGAGCCGTTTTCTTGTAATTAACTGTTGAAAAAAAGTGTTAAATTTTCGTCGACATTTAAGCTCATCCTACCGAACCGATTTAAAATATCAAAAACTGTTCGAAAGATATTAGTTGGGAATGATACTGATTAATTTTAGGTGAAAATCTACCGAGCCGTTTTCTTGTAATTAACTGTTGAAAAAAAGTGTTAAATTTTCGTCGACATTTAAGCTCATCCTACCGAACCGATTTTAAAATATCGAAAACTGTTCGAAAGATATTAGTTGGGAATGATACTGATTAATTTTAGGTGAAAATCCACCGAGCCGTTTTCTTGTAATTAACTGTTGAAAAAAAGTGTTAAATTTTCGTCGACATTTAAGCTCATCCTACCGAACCGATTTTAAAATATCAAAAACTGTTCGAAAGATATTAGTTGGGAATGGTACTGATTAATTTTAGGTGAAAATCTACAGAGCCGTTTTCTTGTAATTAACTGTTGAAAAAAAAATTTAAGCCGATTTTCATGGAAATTTTTTTGGCGATATACATCATGGTCTTATAGAACTTACTGTAATATTACGGCCTAACGACAAGTAGTTTAATTTTAAAAATTCGTCAAAGTTTGCTAAAATTATTATCGTTTTTTTTAAAGTAGGATTAATGAAGTATATTATTTACCCATTTTTTTGATTAAGTCGATTATTTACACATTTCGGGAAGTTCATGTAACTTGCCTCAAGGCTAAATACCAAACCAACTAGTTATCGTTTTTTTCAAAGCAGGATTGATAAAGAATATTATTAACTTCCCGAAGGAGAAGTTTATGTTTTCATCAAAAAACCCGATTCGCTAATTTTATGTTTTCTCGACGTTTCAAGCCATTCTGAATCGAATGAGACCAAATTTGGAAAAAGTATGTGTGTGTGTGTGTGTGTGTGTGTGTGTGTGTGTGTGTGTATGTGAACAGATTTTTTGCCGTAAATCGACGTTTTCTCGAAAACGGCTGGACCGATTTCAAAAATTTAAAAGCCATTCGATGTATCTCGACGAGAACTATTGTTTGTCAGTTTTGTGCGACGATCGGCCAAGCCGTTTCTTTATAAATGGCAGAAAAGTGAAAAATTTTTCGTCTACGTTTTAGCCCGCAATTCTGAATCGATTTTGAAAATTCAAAAACCGTTCGAAAGATATTGGTTGGGAATCGTGCTGATTAGTTTTTTGGTAGAGATCGGCCGGGCCGTTTTCTTGTAATAAAGTTTTAAAAAAAAAAATTTTGACGATTTTTATGATTATTTTTTTGACGATAGATACCATAGTCTTCTAGATCATACTAAAATATTACGGCCCTACGACAACTGGTTCAGCTTTAAAAATTCGTCAAAGTTTGCAAAAATCAGTATGGTCTTTTTGGCATTTGTCAAAATTAGACTTTTGATCGACGTTTTCTCAAAAACGCCTGAACCGATTTTAGAAATTTAAAAGCCATTTGATGTATTTCGGTGAGGACTATCGTTTGTCAGTTTTGTGCAACGATCTGCCAAGCCGTTTCTTTGTAATTTGAAAAAAACTTTTCGTCCACATTCAAGCTCATCCTACCGAACGATTTTAAAAAATCAAAAACTGTTCGAAAGATATTAGTTGGGAATGATACTGATTAATTTTAGGTGAAAATCTACCGAGCCGTTTTCTTGTAATTGACTGTTGAAAAAAAGTGTTAAATTTTCGTCGACATTTAAGCTCATCCTACCGAACCGATTTTAAAAAATCAAAAACTGTTCGAAAGATATTAGTTGGGAATGGTACTGATTAATTTTAGGTGAAAATCTACTGAGCCGTTTTCTTGTAATTAACTGTTGAAAAAAAGTGTTAAATTTTCGTCGACAATTAAGCTCATCCTACCGAACCGATTTTAAAAAATCAAAAACTGTTCGAAAGATATTAGTTGGGAATGATACTGATTAATTTTAGGTGAAAATCTACCGAGCCGTTTTCTTGTAATTAACTGTTGAAAAAAAGTGTTAAATTTTCGTCGACAATTAAGCTCATCCTACCGAACCGATTTTAAAAAATCAAAAACTGTTCGAAAGATATTAGTTGGGAATGATACTGATTAATTTTAGGTGAAAATCTACCGAGCCGTTTTCTTGTAATTAACTGTTGAAAAAAAGTGTTAAATTTTCGTCGACAATTAAGCTCATCCTACCGAACCGATTTTGAAAAATCAAAAACTGTTCGAAAGATATTAGTTGGGAATGATACTGATTAATTTTAGGTGAAAATCTACCGAGCCGTTTTCTTGTAATTAACTGTTGAAAAAAGTGTTAAATTTTCGTCGACATTTAAGCTCATCCTACCGCACCGATTTTAAAAAATCAAAAACTGTTAGAAAGATATTACTTGGGAATGATACTGATTAATTTTAGGTGAAAATCTACCGAGCCGTTTTCTTGTAATTAACTGTTGAAAAAAAAATTTAAGCCGATTTTCATGGAAATTTTTTTGGCGATATACATCATGGTCTTATAGAACTTACTGTAATATTACGGCCTAACGACAAGTAGTTTAATTTTAAAAATTCCAAAAAAAGTCAAAGTTTGCTAAAATTATTATCGTTTTTTTTAAAGTAGGATTAATGAAGTATATTAATTACACTTTTTTTTTTGATTAAGTCGATTATTTACACATTTCGGGAAGTTCATGTAACTTGCCTCAAGGCTAAATACCAAACCAACTAGTTAATCAAACGTTGCTACTTGGTTCGTTAAGTTCGGTGACGCTAGAAGAGTATCTTTAAAACGAAGCTACGCCGACACAATCAAAACAAGCAAACCGGTTTTTGCACAACATGTAAGTTTTTAACAGGTACTCAAACATCAAGAGGCTTCCAACACAAATCATCTTGTTATGCTTTTATCGCAGTTCTTATCGGAATTCAAATCAATGTTTCAACAAATGATGCAACAAAATAATATGATTGTGAACATGTTATCTACACTTATAAACAAAATTAAATAAAACTGGCTAAATTTCTTTGAATAGCAAT